GAGCGGTCCGGGATTCAAAGGTGAGTTTCCCAACTGAGTGTTTTAGTAACGTTGTGCAGAGCAGACGCAAGTGCCGATCGCCAGGATTCAAAAGTGCGACCTCCTCGGCATTAGATTCGGTGTTGGGAAGCTCATGTAAGATTGCTTTGCTTTGTCGCGAACTGTTTAAATATTTGTGAAGGACGGAAAAGCGTTTCATGTGATTTCAAATAAAGCTTCAGGTAACTGTCAGCCATGATTTTCAGCCACAATATGGCCAAGTGTCGTTACTCTGAAGCGTAGCTTATTTAGTGGCACAAGGTAGTACTTCCTATCGCACAGTCTCAGCGACGCTAATTCTAGCAAAGAGGGTCTCGGTTCACGCCGTAGATGAGAAATTTAGTCAGTGCAGTACGACTGCTAGCCCGGGGTTTGTAACGTGCCGCTCGCAATAGTGGTTGCACTTTCGGCAGACTGAAGGAAGTGCAACAGTGATGGCGTCTCCTATTTTCCTGATTTGGTATTTGTCAGCTAATTGCTTGGGGTTTATTGGGAAGTGCATTTTAGGCCGTAGGGAGATAATAACTGTGCTTTCATTTTAAATAAGACGAACAGCCTTTGATACCTGACAGTGATTATATGCATCTTTGGATACGCCTAAGATACTTCTTGATATGTGTCCGCGTGCACCGTGAGCTAAATGCCTAGGATATTCTGGTAGAGTATAAGGGATGCAGGCATTAGGTTAATGCACGTGGTTGAAAAAACCCCGAGACTGCGGGTAAACGACACAACACTAAAAAGTCTCTAGACTTTTTAGAGTTGTTTAGAGTATAGAGACGTTTTAGGTGTTGTGTCGTTTACCCGCAATCTCGAGGTTTTTTCAATCATGTGCAATGTACACCAACTCGTCTGCGCCCTTACATTTTGTTGATTACGTTAACATCGCTAATAGGCACATCTGACTAAATAAATAATGAGTATAAACGTTATATGAAATTATCGTATGTCAAGTGCGTTTGTATTTCTTTTTTTTATGTGTGTGTATTTCTTACGTAATGTGTCCGGACCCTCAAAAAAAAGAAAAGAAAAAAGAAATGAGAATGGGATTATATTTGGGTCCCTAATGCTGGGCTTTTTAGGGTTTCTTCCTTTTTGTTTAATGTTTAAAAGTTTGTTTTATTCACATCGATGACATTTCAATGTCTAGGATTTATGTTTTGTGGGAGATAAAAAAAATATAAAGAGGCATGGTTAGGGACACGCGAAGGGTGGCTAGAGAAGCTCAGCAATCCAGCCTTTCGCGAGGTCGGACGTTCTCCTTTGAATGCTGCACTTTAAAAGATGTGAAACAAAAAAACGCAAACGCTAACGTCTTCTTTATTTTTATATTTGCAAAATTGCAAAGGTGACTACGTTTTGGCGAGATATGTGTCTCTATATTCACCGACTCATCTCACCGACATTTGATGAATTTCTAAAATCTGTTTCGAAATTTGTAAGTAGCCAATTAGAACCATTAGGCTAGCTTTATCTCCATGTTTTTTTTCGTTTTCTTTTTATCGGAACTCTTTCTCTCTCTCTCTCTCTCTCTCTCTCTCTCTTAATTTTAGATACAATTATGCTGAGTACTAAAACGCCTATACACGCGGCAAAAGTCTAAACTTTCTACGATAGGCAGTTTATTTTCGCACTCACTTTCCACGATGCACCCTGTTTATTTCTCAGAATTTGGGCTAACATTTCCATCTGAGACCGTGTGGCCAAAAGCAAAAAATCCTCAAACACGAAGAACAAAACAAAGAACACTTACAACCTTTTTTTTCTTTTTTTTTTTCTTCGCGTTCAGCGTAAATTATGTCTAGTGCACATGATGCCAGTATGGCGCTGAAGTGGGCCAGATAAACGCGGGAAGATTATCCACCCTTGGCAGCTTTGCCGCGCAGTGTGGCTTCATGTGCATTTAACATGATGAAACAGCTCTAGGGCTGTGTCGTGCCAAGCCGTTCCGTTTAGCCACGAAGTACGTGTGGGATGCACACGTACTGCGCACGGCTCAGAACCTGTTTTCTTCGAGTGGTGCCGATGCGACGGGCTTTGTTTTCCGCTTCTTGCCCGGTGATCGATTCACGAATGAGCACGAGTCGCATTTGGACTCCATGATCAAGTAACTCTACAAGACAAAATATAAGAAACTTTGGCAGCGCCGTTCATCTCGAAAGATGTATATTGCATGGAATGCAGTGTTTAGGGAGCGATCGTCTCAATTTCTTCAAAAGGCAGTATATTTTCGGGAAGTGAAGAACAAGTTGTTTTTTAGTTTTCACGCTTAATTTAGCGGAGAAAATGACGTCGCAGTGTCGAGTCGTGATGTAACGTGTTACTATGATGTCACGTCACGTGACCTCACGGTGCCAAGTCGTGATTTCACGTGACGTTAATTTCCCCGCTAAATTCAGCGGACAAATGCACAGACGGACAGACCTCGGAATGGGGGGGGGGGGGGGGGGGGGGGGGGTCTTTGAGAAGCATTCCTCGCTTTTAGAAGACCATAGCAAGAGTGCCAAAACAAGGAGTCCGAGGGTCTATTTTTCTCCCGAGCGCGTAAATCGTGCATTACGAAATATTTTATATCCGTGCAGGGACAGTGGTTCTGGTCCTCACACGCGTGGGTGGAGTGTTTCAGCTCAAATGTGGCATGATTCAAAACTTGAAAACAAAACAAATAGACGTGCGAACCTATAGCGATTCGCTGGTTCCGTGACTTCCGTCCTGTGCATCAGGGCGGTTCGCTCGTCGCGCGAGGCTGCACGCCATCGGACGAATGAACCCCTTCATTCGAGTGTGGAAAGCGGCTGTTCGCGTGAGGACACGCTCACACTCTAGCATGAAAATGCCGGCGACTTTCTTGGAAAGCACGCGGTCTGTACGGAGCGTCCCGAGCGAATGACAGAGGCGTAAAGGCAGTTTGTATCGGAAATATGAAATCAGCACAAGGGTAATGAACACGAAGTTTCACTCACTCACTGTATCCGCGCGAATTGCGTTTTCGAGCAAAACAGTTCTTGTGCCCCTTCGTTCCCTAAACGCGCTCCGTAAATAGCAAAGATTGGCCCACCAACGATTCTGCGGGAAAGCGTGATACGCAGGCATGTTTAGGGGGCTGCGAATCATTGGAAAACGCTAACGAAAGCTGCGCGAAAAAAAGAAAAAAAAAAAGATTCTAATCTAAAAAAAGAAAAAAAAAAACTATGCGAGTTCGCCTTCCCGCAAAACACGTAAACCACCAACTACGGCGAACAGTAGGAGGTTCCCACTAAGTTGCCAAACTTTGAGTACAATAAAAAAAAAAAAAAATCCTGTGCGCAGGGACGTTTTACTGCGAGACTTGGCTTTTGAAAAAGTTACATCTTCGCGGAACGTCTGCTGTCGCTGTGAGGAGGTGACAAGTCCGCGAGGGCTACAGGCAAAAGGTCACGTCTTTGAAACGTAGCTTTCACAGAACAGGCGCTTTCGCTACAAAGACACGGTTCAGAGTAAAGGAGCTCGAGCTATGCGGAGCCCAAGCACGTCTGCTTCTTTTGCAGGCGTGGTGATGACGTCAGAACGCCGAGCTTTGATTGGCTCTGATTGAAGGATAGCGGGTAGACCTCAAGTCACGCTTGCTTTGAATATCTACCCACTATAGTTCAGTCAGAGCCAATCAGAGCTGGGCGCTCTGACGTCATCACAACGCCTGCAAAAGAAGCAGACGAACTTCCGCTCCGCACTGGTCAACGTTATTAGATTAACTCAGTTACGGAACTGCTCATAGACGCTGCATACCACGAGCAGTACCCCCCTCACTCACCACGACTCGCCTCCCGTCGTTCGACGCGCCGGACGGTTGCTATGGTAACTGCAGTGTATTCTATGGGATACGTACGTTTCGAAGCGCAGCGTCTCTAGATGGCGCACCACCGTACTGTATGGAACGCACAGTTCGTAAACGCAAATCTAGATGGCGCTTCGAACGGCGGAAGGCGGACTGACCCCCTTCCACGGGAGTTCCACAACTGAGGTAATCTAGTAACGTTGGCTCTACGGCCGCGGCATGACGTCACGGGGGTGCTGAAATACGCGGTGCAACGGACGGAATCAGCCGCAGCACCACCGCGACGTGACGTCACGGGGGTGCTGCGGTGCACGTCGCCCAGTGTTGTTTGACTAGAAGCTAGGTGGTCGCATCTTTAAAATCGGTTTCAGTGGAGTACACGGCTTCACTTCGACGTATTCTAGGGAGTTAGAGCAAATCGTTTTGAAAGACCCGGTACCACTACGGGCGCGCGCTTCAGAGTATGTATCAACGTGGCAGTGCGAGCTCCCTCTACAAATGGCGTGGCCTGAAAACACGACCTACTGAAACTCTAACATTTTAACTGTGATCATATTCCGTGCCACGAGTCATTTATTTTGGTTTCGTTTTCGACCGGAGTTGCCAGTTAACTGCAGCTACGCTTCAAAACAGATACCGCTTTAAGGGCCGCCCACACTAGCGAGAAAACGCGCCCGGCGCGCCGATAAATCGGTTAAGCGGGAAGATAAAGAGCGTGTCTCTGCACGCGCTCGTGGCGCTGACTGTGCTTCGGCGACATTTTGTTACTTGCCGCGATCGGCGTGCCACGCGCGTTTTCTCGCTAGTGTGGGCGGCCCTCTATACTCTCAAGCCTGGTTCACATGCAGCGGTTTTGGCCCTAGAGCGGCGCGATTTCTGCCGTCGCGGCGCTCTGGCCAGCACCAGCTCAGACAGCTATTTCAGAGGAAGTGAAGAGTGCTCGTGCAAGCGCACGTGCGCTCCTATAGCATGGACTCCACAGAACGTTATCCAGGTAACTGCGGCTTTGTGTAACGACGGTATTAGAGTGGAATGAAGTATAGAGAACTTGTCGCATTCGCTGCACTGTCAGCCCTTCTACCTTTCTGAAATGCACTCGTGCTTTATGTGCTAGGAATCCAAACAACATCGACTCTTACTTTGGCAGCCGACAAGAACCACTGGTACAAGCTGGGCGCCTCAGGAATCGATGGACGACTCAGGCACCAGGTGAAGGTCGGACGAGCCAAGAACGTGGTGCTCTTCCTGGGAGACGGCATGGGCATTCCGACGGTGACGGCGGCGCGCATCTACAAGGGCCAGCGACTGAGCAACCGGAGCGGCGAGGAGAGCGTCCTATCCTGGGACATCTTCCCGCATCTGTCTCTGGCCAGGACGTACGGGCTGGACGTGCAGACGTCGGACTCGGCCAACACGGCCACGGCCTACCTGTGCGGGGTCAAGGCCAACTACGAGACGCTGGGAGTCGACTCCAGGGTTAAAGTGAGGGGCCAGTGGTTCTGATCTGTCTTAACCGTGAATTCGTTGAATACGCTTTCATGCCTCTGAGTATCAAACTAGAACTTTCTCGGCGTGACCGCAGCCGAGAACTCTTCAATGCGGAAACATTTTCTTAATAAAAAAAGTATTAATCAAAGTGCTTAGTTACTTGCTATTTCTGTATACGCTTCCATTAGAAGGTTACTTCGCGGTGCACAAACCGGTAGTTCAAATATTGGATTGTGCAAAGGTCGGCAACAAAACAAGACTTAAAAACACGGCGCTTTATATTATTATTCGACTTCAAACTCAGAAAGGCAAAATGATACGGCAGGGTTAGGCCGCCAATAAGGTACAGGATCTCTCTTTCCTGCGCCAACATCACAAACCTGCACCTGGTGCTCCTTCGCAGAGCGGGCAGTGCCACAGCGACACGAGCACCCACCTGTCGAGCATCATGCAGTGGGCTCAGGACTCCGGCCTGTGGACGGGCATCGTGACCACGACCCGTGTCACGCACGCCACCCCGGCCGCGAGTTACAGCCACTCGGGACATCGGAACTGGGAGGCCGCGGTGCCTCCCGACTGCGACGCCAAGGACATCGCCTACCAGCTAGTGCACTCGTCGCCAGGGAAGGGATACAAGGTGAGTAGATTACCGCCTTCCGAACGAACGTTTGCTGGAAGGCAGTCGGGTGTATCTGACACGAGGTCCGAAACCCGTCTTCGACTGGTGTGCTTACCGTGTTCTACAAAGTCGTCTCTCGACTTCCGCCTGACGACGCCATAAAGTCGCATTCGCACTGCTTGTATACGGACATGATGGCGGAATAATCTGCAGATACGCGTCAAGCACTTTCGAAGCGCGGCAGGCATATGTATGCTTCGGACATGTCTGCATAGACTTTTCGTACTACCAATGTGACATGAGTCATGTCACATGACTCATACAAAGACCGCCTCAGATGGTGTCCCCACTCTCTTTTGTATGATGTCCGGCCGTAATCCTGGAGGTGTGACAACAGCGGTGCTGCATGTGGCAGACGCTTGTTCTGCTACAGGTCTCTCCCTAGCTTGACAGTACACGGAAGCCTTGGCAGTCGGCAGTCGAGACTTTATGACCACAACGACCCTCGCGTTCGAGCATACTGCTCGTCGGAACTTCTAGCACCAACCGCCAGGATCGCGACATCCGACAGCAAAGACACGCCGGCTTTTGTGACGTCATTTGTTGTCATTTTGGGACGACCTTCGATGTACGGGCGGGTTAGGACCCTCTATGCACTCCAGTTGAAGACTTCCTCCAGACACCGTATTAATTTTTTTTTTTCCGGGGTTGCACCTTATTCAAAGTTTGAATACCGGAAAACCGGTCGGACTTCTGTCCTAAAGCCAGAGGCCTTCCGTGCATTTCGCCTTGAGTATCTCTTTTGAAAAGTGCGCGCCCTCCAGCGGCTACTGCGCCAATGATCCGAGGCCGCCATATTTTGGGCATGCACTCTGAGAATGCATTTGACACGAGTGCTACTCCAGCGCTCGGCGAGTACTCAGCTCCGCATGCTTGCTACACGAGTGCTGCGTCAAAGTGCTGCGTTCAACTCGGATCGAATTCCGCGCTTCGCGCAGAAGCCGTGCGCAAAATATGGCATCCGCCTGTGTTGCTTGACGAACTTTTAAAAAGGGTGTAATGCTAACGTATTCTGTGGCCAAAGGTTTTGGAAAGAATCGCATTATACACCGATAAACTGCCTACATCTTTTTTTTTTTTTTTTATACGTTGTAGGATCATGTTTTCTTGTAAAACTTTCTGATGCAGTTCAGAGAGTTGGCTGGTATAAGGCATTCTTGTAACTCAGAGTGAAGGATGTTGAGCTGATAGAGAACGCAGTTTGCGCTAACCATAGCGCTATTTTTCTTGGGATTCGTGCGGAGAGGAGGGTGTACTTGATGCTCTGTGAAAACAGTTCTGATATCGGGTTTTCTTTTTGTTTGTGTATATGATGGTTTGTATCGACGACGAGTTATAGTATTCGGTTTGCTAGAAGGGAAACAAAGTGGAGCATGCGGCTTTTTAAAGAAATGCAACAAATGAAACTTTCGGTATATACTTTTTTTTTTCATTAAGGAACAACAAGCATGACGAAACTTATGCTTCAGGGGAGGAAATGATGGTTCCTAGGTTATTCCGTAGCGTCATGCCGCGGCCTAGCTACGCTCACTTTCAAAATTAAACAAGGGGCGAGTTGTCACAGAGCTCCGCCGTTCGATTAGAGTTACAAAAAATCCCCAGTTTTGCTCATCCCGCTGCGCAACGAGATGCAGCCTTCGCGATCGTATGAGTCGCGTCTTCTGAGGATCAAGTTTGCCCATCTCCCTTTCGAAACACACACGGCGCGGTCAGTCGATGGGAGTTGCCGATTGTCAGTATCAGTACAGAATGTACACGCGGCTCGCTTATCAGCAACCACTTCAAGTTGTGTCAAGTTCGACAGATGAGATTCCACCTAGTTTAGTCGGGAAAACCGGACACTCGAACGATGTTCAAGCTTCAACTGATAAATGGTTAATGGCCAGGACCAGAGCCGTATATGGGGAGAGTTTGGTCAGTCTATGATCTCGCCGCCGTAACGCTCTCCTCCCAAGTGAGCCAATCAGCACGCGGCTTAGAGCGAGAGGCATGAGCGCATGCGCGTGAACTCTCGGCTGCTCCCTCCTGAGCGGGGAGGGCCGCCATCTTCGATTATTCTCCTGGCGGAATGCGTGGGATCGGCATCTAAATCTCGATTATTGCCTTTTATATCGCTGGCTCTGGCAAGAAAATGACATTATGTTATTCCTCGGTGGGTTAAAAAGCTAATAAATGAAGATTTTTCGGCGTATGGCCACAAACTTTTATTCAGGCGAAAAAGAAGTCGGCCCGTAGCAGACGACGCGTAGCCTCAGCAGTGCTCTTCTCCGACCAGTCTCCGACAGCGTTGCTCAAAAATGGCGGTCGTCTCCTCTCTGCTCCCTTCTTTCTCTCTCGCTCCTTCGGCGCTCTCCTCCCTTTCATTTACTTTTCTCCTCTCCGGCGCCTTCGTCGCCACACCCACTGGCCAAACTCTTCCAATATACGGCTCTGGCCTGGACGTACGTACTTCGTTTTACTTCAAGTCCTACCGCAGTCGACGCTACGATATCAACTAGCGCCAAAAACGCTTCGTCATGGTGCCCGTCGTCTTTGTTCGTTTACTATTATCAAGTAAACCAATCCACACGAAAAAAAAAAAAAAAATCCCAGCATCATATTCACTCTGCGTGACTGGTTTAGCCGGTGATACGCACAAAGTGCGCTCATACTTGGTGCGAAACGGATTATAGCAGCTGTCATTCGAAATGTCAATGCGCTTGGCGCGCACTTCTGTCTCGCTTGTGGAAGTGGCAAGCTTGATCAAGTGGATTTTTTGTTTGCATGCTGGACTGTTATTTTTTTAGTCACTAAAAAAGTGTAGACATGGCGAAAAAAAATTATTGCGTATTTTTTTAAACGCTGCGCCAAGTAGTTCCTGAAAATGAACTTTCACAAAAAAAACAAAAAAAACAATGCTTGTTGGGTTTTATATGCGCAAGTTCTGATAAAATAACAAATAATCGTTTCTAAATGTATACACAACATTTTATGTCTGTTATAAAAGGTGGCTATTATTAACGCTTCGCGAGGAACCGAGCTTTTTTGACTACGGTTTTTGAGGTGCAAACGACTATTGGTGTCTGCAGTAAAATCTACAGCACATATAGTTTCTAGAACAAAGAGCTCTGGCGGCCTGTTCGCTCGCCAGTCTTGTTGAACGAACCAAAGTTTCACAGCGCCTGGCGGCCAAAAAACGAAGCCGTGAAAGTAGGTTCGAAAATGCGCGGTGAAAAATTTCAATATTCTTCGTCCTCTCAGGACACAGCAGTATTGGCGACGTGCGCGATCGAAAGCTTCGACATGTAGTTGGCCTTCCACGATTGACCAAATGCTGACTATGACGTCAGCAAAGGATTTCTCATCGACGGAAAGGAGAGTAATATAAGAACTTCAATTTTGAGGGTGTTGGCAGTTTTTGTTTTAGAGCGCAATGATTTCAAGCTTCCACCATGCTCATTCCAAACACCATAGAACTTGTTGTTCGCAAGGTAATGACGTCACGGAAGGGAACCGTAGGGGGGCGCCACCAAAACATCTCGCTGCTAATAGGCCTTCTGCCAAACTACCCAAGCACGCGGGAGAATGCTAAGAACTTAGGTACACGCGCTGCACGCACTCTCCTTGTCAGTATAGAACATTCAAAGTAAGTAATCAAAATAAGGCGTTGACGTGGGAAGTGTCAGGTGTTTGAGGGATTTGCGTTTACGCAGGTACTGCTGCAGACGCCAGCACGTTTAACGCGTGTAACTGCAGCTATACTCCTTGGTGCTATGGGCTTATCGAAAGACCCGTTGGGCGTAGATTAGCGAACGTGAAGTCCTCGTGCCTGGGCAGAGGGGAATTCCAAAGAGCTAGCGTTTCGTTTTTTTGGGAGGCTATTGATAAGATAGCAGACACGTTTATCGCTTACGTGCTCGCTCTGTATAGAGCACACGTGGAATGATGGAAGAGTGAAAACGTCTGCGCATCCCTTTCCCGGGTCCCTACTGCTCTTGCTGATCCACGCTCGGCCGCGTTTCCCCGCATTTTTATCGCAGCAGCGCACACCATAGATGCGCAGGTGTGTGGGAGGCTACACAAGGTATTGCAAGCCGATCGGATAGCTTGACGGCCCGCGCTGCACGCAGATACGTTTCCCATGACTCGCGTAAACACGTACTCAGCTTGTTCTTTTTTCTTTTCTTTTTCTTTTTGGTTTGACGGGCAGGACTCTACAACAAAAGCAAATGACTACTCTTTTTTTTTCTTTTTTTTTTTGCGGGAGGTTTATGATAAACGCTGGCGAAAGCGATACTGCTTGAAGGTTTGAGTAGTGCGCCGGTGGCTTACAGTTGTGCCATATGTTTTTAGAATTCATCTACATGTTGGAGGCTGGTATTTTAAATTCTAATTATGCTAGCCACAGTGTGTCTCCGCTCGTAAAATTTATAAAACTCTAATGTTTGGGAAAACATTAATTAATATTTGTTCTGGACCCACATTTTTTTTTTTTTTTTTCGTAGGAATATTTTTAACGACTTACACAGAAGGACCTCATCCTCCCAAAAGTTTGGCCGTCGAGGCTGTGCAAAGATGCGGCTATTACGAATTGTCGAATATTTCTAAGATTCACGAAAATGATTTGTTTATCGAATTTAACGGGTGTTTGAGAAGGGTCGCCCGATGCTTGAAACGCTCACCTAAAAGAGGGATTAAGAAAGACGACCTTCCTTGCTTGTGAGAAAGGCTCAAAAGACCATTGAGAAACGCAGGACAGAACTTATTATGTTGTCTTGCATGCGTTTCTTGAAAAAGAAAGTAATCGATTACAATTACTCTCAGTTAACTCAATTAGATTACTCGATTACTTGAAGAGGAAATTATTTGGTCGTTACACGAGAAAACTTAAACGTTACTTTTTCGGTTACTTTAGTTTTTCAAGTCAGATTTTTCTGCCGCTTTCAGAACGGGTCTCTTGTGCTGCCTATTATTGGATTATTATCGCCGAATTATAAAGTCATCTCTTTAATGACCAGTTTCGGTAAACCATCCTCCTGTCAGACTTTGTTTGGTGATTTGTTTTTAGTAGGACGTGTACAAACAAAAGGCCCCATAGAAAAGGGCACAAAGAAATACGAGTAATTTTATTACTTTGAAGAATGATCAGATTACTCTCGCAATTACTTCCTAATAAATGCGATCGAATAATTACCAACTTCCTCCAAAAAGTAATAGGTTACAAGTCATTTGATTACTTGTAATGAGTGCCCTACAAGTCTGAAATGTTCACGCTTCCTGTTTCGTCCTTTGACATTCCTGTGCGCAACTTAATTGACTACGGAACGGCCATTAAAGGCTCGTGACTTGCACGCCCCGCGTTTCTCAGGTTCTCAGTGCTTACACATAAGTTCTAATCATGTTGGCGAACAGACCAGCCAGGCGAGTGTTTCTTGGTGCTGAAAGGTAGTATTAAGTTTTTTGGCTTTCAGGCTTGCAAGGAGCCGTATACTTCTCGATTCGTTTCTGCGTGAGTCAGTTCTGATTCCACGTCGTTCTAGTAACATTTTAGATGTTACGAGGAAGGGGGTAAACAAGTGAAGTTTGGACGTACATTCCTCCAAAGCATGGATTCTCTAGCTCGCTTTCTAGGAACCGGTGTTGGCGGGCACTCGTTGCATTATTTTTAGCGTGGTAACGCGCTCATTACATTGTCAAAACAGTATCGGAAAACGTAGTTACGTTACTTGCTACATCTTGTTGCCAAGACTTACAAAAAAAGTTACACTTCAAAAAAAAAAAATTTTTTTTTGAGCCTCCAGGCGCAGAGTTGAATGAATACTAGCGCTTCTCCTACATTCCTTCAAGATTTTGCGTCTCTTTTACCCACGAAAACACTCGCATTTTCTTGAAATGTGGCGCTTCTAACTGTGGCGTCAAACAGTAAAACGTTTTCAATTCATGCACAAAAAAGTAACGCCAAAGTAACCTGTGTTACTTTTTATCGGTAACGGTACCGCGTTCATTTATTTTTGACGTGACGTGGGTCCGTAGCGCGTTCCTTTCGTTAGTGAGTAACGAGTAGCGTATTTAGGTACGTTTTTTTTTCGGTAACGCCTACAAACACTGCTAGGAATCCAGGTGTTTTCCAGAGAGTACCCTCGGGGGTGCACTGCGCCCTCAAAATTATTCCGCGTAACTAGCCCAAAATATTCGTTAAGATTGGGCACGATATTAGGAGGTCTGAGCCGCATACATTCAAGCACATACTAAATGTTCCATACGGTCCTAGGATGCGAAGTACTCTTTGCGAATTTGTATAGGCTTCTGCGCTGTCACTTTATAAAAAAATGAGACGTCTATAAAAAAAAAAAGTCTAAAAAAACGTTTATAAAAAAAGTCAACGTTTATTAAAAAAGAAATGACAGTTTAAGACACGCGGAGCGTGGCTTAAGTGGAGCGCAAGTTCGTCTGCTTCTTTCGCAGGGGTTGCGGTGACGTCAGAACAACGCCGAGCTCCGATTGGCTCGGATTGGAAATATAGTGAATAGACCTCGAGGCAGCTTGCATATAGAGATCTACCCCCATCCTTCCAATCAGAGCCAATCAGTGCTCGGCGTTCTGACGCCACCGCAACCCCTGCGAAAGAAGCAGGCAAGAACTTGCGTTCCGCATAATGTTCGTGCCCCTGTCTTCGTGATTCGTCCATCGGGGTTCTCATCAGCTAATGCCGCGAGCTCATTGGCTGCCGAGCGATAATTAGACGCAGGAAAGTGGTTAGTAGGGCTACCATAGTTGGTTCATATTTTAAAAAGTGTAATATGCAGAGAGCGACAACGACCAAGACGAAGTAAGACAACACGAGGCAATACAAAAAAGATAATTAGACGTTGAAGACTCTCTATGCCCAGAATTATTTTAAGCTTTTAGCGATTATAAATACATTTTTTAGGTCCTTAGTTGGCCGGCAATTGAGAAACGTTTTTCCTTCGAAACAAGCTCGAATATTTATTGGGCGGTCCTTTAGAACCTCTTTTGCTACCAGGGTTCTAATCCTCGATACGTGTTTTCACGGCTCCCTTCCAGGTGATTCTGGGGGGCGGTCGCCGGGTCTTCCTCGACAAGAACATGATGGACGAAGAGGGCAAGCCGGGACAGCGCACGGACGGCAAGAACCTCATCAAGGAATGGACGGACGCCAGAAAGAGCGAAGGGAACGCCACCTACGTCTGGAACAAGCAGGGACTTCTCAGCGTGAACCCGCAGAAGACAGACTACCTGCTCGGTGAGCGTTAACACCTAGAAGACAAGGCGTGGGCCCTTAACTTGCCCCAAGCGTCATCACCAGTGGGTCGCCAGCACGTCTTGCAGAGTCTCAGAACGAGCGGAACGCTGGCACGCCGCGACTGTCGTAGAGCTTCGACGTGTTCGCCTCTCGAGGCGGGTCGGGTGTCCACTCGATGACGTGATGCACAGGCCCTGTCTTCTAAGTGGCGTTGGAATGGGTCTCTGGGAACAGGCTGCGGGATTTGGGGACCCGGGCGAACAATATAGACGCAGCAATTTAGTAACATTACTACTGTATATTAACTCGTTCAAATGTAGCACACATTTTCACTACGTAAAAGGAAGCTTCGCCGCGTACTGTGCTCTATAAATCACATCGCAGTGCTCTTCAAATCTCATCCAACTTCACGTTGGGTACTGTTTTCTAAAGGTACAATGTTATATTTATACCCTCGCGATACCTTAACCATTCTGACAGCCTCAACATAGAAAGATTGACTAAATTACTAATCGATCGAAAGTAACCAATTACTTAAAAATTCTTCGGTGCACAACCCTAATACATTAAATAGAAAATAGCAAAATGCGTAGAATCAGAAAGTGACCTGTATTCTATAATCAGAAGTTACCCCCGCCCCCAATTGCCTGAAGGCGTTACTGCAGGGGAGTTACAAACCTGAAAAATACATTTCTTCAGTTGCAGAGCACACCGCTCCCCTGTCAGCTGCTTCCATTGCTAAATGAACTTAACAAAATAAGAAAGTATTTGAGCACATATTTGTTCTGGCACAACATTCTCTTAATTTAGAACAATAGTCGGTTCAACTAAAAATAAGTACTTTCCTTTTTTTTAATTAAATATATTTGTTATACTTCGTTTCAGCTTAGCTCCCCGATCAGCCAGAGACTGGGGAACAGTTCACCATTTCGAAAAGAGCGTTCGTACGCATCCCGAAGTAGTTCGCAAAAGTAAACTTTTAGAAATACTTTGTTCGTGCACAAATATTGGACAAATTTCCAGTTGTGTCCTGCTAAGAACTAATCATAAAAAAGAAGTATTACGTTCCACGCTCTTCATAATATAGTAATGAGTATGCTTCGACGAAAAACGCCTATATGCTGGCAACATTGATGCAACTACTACACGTTTTTCATTTTTCTTTGTGCGTGTGTTCTTAGCGGTTGAGTTGTGGGCTTCAAGTTCAACGCTTTCCTCGCCAAGTTGTTGGACATCCCCGGGTTTTCTATTTTCCTAATTTCCACCGACAACGCAAGATAAGAAGTGAGGCAAGTTTGGGCTCCAGGGTGTTCAGGCGCGAGATCGTGATCAATCTGCACTCTTTTTCGCCGGGAGTCCCAAACCGCGTCGTACCTCGAAGTTGTTCAACGAACGTCGGAGCTAATAGACGTTGGGAAATCAACGAAAAATTGATCCACCGACGGCGCGAAACGCTCTGCGATGAAAAAACCGGGTCCAAATCGGGTGTCAAGGTGGTGGTGAGAGGCAAAACCACGCGGTGTGGGTCGAGCGCCGAGAAAACGCGTATTCCAGTGCGACCGGAGAGACGCGCTATGCTTTTGTTGCTGTTATGCGTCTGCGGAGAGAGTGCGCTGCTTGACTAGAAATCGGAGACAGGGCTGCAGTCTACCCAGAGAGCTCGCTCAACTTCTTTTTCCGCGGGCTCCTGACGGCACCGCGACAGAGAAGAAGACACCTCTGGGCACTGAACCTTACCTACCAACTTCCGTGTTCTAGCCATGGTTTTCCTCTGCCGGCAGTGCGACGGCCCTCTGCGAAGCCCAAGAGCCACCGTAATGAACCGGAGTTTTACCCCAGAACTCGAAATAACATTTTTAATCATCCCAGCAGACGCAATGTCTCTCTTCGACTCCTCGGCACCTCTGCGCAGGGTCCTCGCGGAGGGATATACATACGAAGCGCGGGCGAAGTCGCGTCCTGTCATCGCCGGCGTTTGATTGGATCCGGCGACCCGTAGCTTTGGCCACGATCGAAGCTAAGCTGGAACGGAGTACAATACCCATTCTGCCATTAAATATTGATTATAAATATTCAGCTTCATTTTCTCCGTCGGTCTAATAGCAATTCTCAACTTGTATTTGTTCCGTCAAACTAAGAGCAATTCCTTTTTTTTTTTTTTTTCATGTCAGTACAACTATCATTTTGCCCGCATCGTCCCAGAACAAACCTCGATGCCCTATTTTAGATTTTTTATAGTTTTTCAATTCGATATTTAAGTGCAGGGTGTCATACAACGCACAGATATTCTAGGAATGGTCTGACGCATGTCAAATATATGCCGTTTTGTTCAAGCTGGTTTCGGAACATTCTAAATTTTGCTGATTAAAGTTCAATGCCCTGACATCGTCGTGACATCGTCGTTACATCGTCAACTTGAGCGTTCCATGAACAGTCGATCGACAACGTAACACCCAGATACTTGTACGTACATTCTGTTTCGATGAAGTAGTTATTCACGGAATATTTGATATTATTTTTTTTCTTACTCGTAAAAAAGTTACACGGACACACTTTTTTAGATTCAGATTTATCTTCTATTTACAACACCAGCTTTCAACACGTATCAGGTCCCTTTGTAATATATGTATTTCTAAATTACGGAAGCATCAAGAAGAATGCAGGGATTTGTGTTCTACGCGCCACACGCGCACGCCTTCCTCGTATAGAAGATTCAAAGTAAATAATCAAAATAAAGCTTTGACGAACGCGCGTTCAAGATCCAATTTGTTTTAGGTATTTGCTTTAGAAAACTTACTACTGCTGAGGCCAGCACGTGCGGCGCGTGGAACACCAATCCCTGCATTCTCCTCGATGCTTCGGTAATTTAGCAATAGGTATATTGTCCTGCGTCTTGTTCACTTGTAATGCTTCTATGCAAAACACTATTATCGGTAAACAGTCGTAAATGACATGTTATTTGGCTAGAAATGTTAATAATATAAATTAAAACCAAGGTTGTTCCTGGGGGACTCCAGATGTTACATCAACGTAATCAGACCGTTTGCCGTTGAAAACCGGACACTGGCGCCGCTGGGACAGATAACTTCCAAACCATTTTATAACAGTTGAATCTCGTTTGAGCAGCTTAAGTTTTTGGAGAAGAATTAAGTGGGAAACCGTGTTAAATGCTTTGCAGAAGTACTAGCAAATAGAGTTCTTTTGTTTGCATTCGTCAATACCAGATACCTATTCGTGAAAAAATTCCGCAAGATTTGTTGTACAAGTCAATCCCTTACGAAAACCGTGTTGCTCATTTATAATTAAATTGTTTACCTTTAGATGACACATCATCTTTGAATTAAAAAATACATGTTCAATTATCTTACATTGAATAGACGTTAATGAAATAGGTCTGTAATTAGAGATTTCCTTCTTAGAATAACTTTTGTGGATAGTTACAACGTTAATTTACTTTCAAGCCATCTGGTAGCACGCCTGTAGACAACGAAAGGGTAGAAATTAAGTGTAGATATGGAGAGATCAACGTGTTTTCTTTGCTTTTTTTTAAACAATGATAAGGTTGATAAGTGTTTTCTAACTAGGAACTTAAGTTTGAGGAAACGTTACGTAAATTCAGTGAATTACAGACTGGGAATTGTTTTTACTATGCGGCTCATACAAAACTCTTAAGTTACAGCTCGGTCGTCAAAGATAACGTGGAACATAAAACCCGATGTTGAACCGAACTAATCGTAATATTTTATACACCACACCGCCCAGGTCTCTTCGACAACAGCCACGTGCCGTACGTGATTCAGAGGAGCGAGGCCAACACCACTAAGCCGACCCTACCAGAAATGACCAAGGTTGCAGTGGACATGCTGAGCAGAGCTCCCAACGGATTTGTTCTTCTCGTCGAAGGTGAGTGACCGTCTTTAATAATTCTAGCAGAATGATTTGTCGGCCTAGTTGGTCAAACATTACGAAAATTAAAAAGCGCAAAAGACAAGGACAAGAGTGAGACAACACAGGACAAGCGCTTGTCCTGTGTTGTGTCCTTCTTGTCCTTGTCTTTTGCGCTTCTTAATTTTAGTAATGTTTAATAATTCTTATGATGCCGAATTAGAATCACTAATGATCTCTCTCTCTCTCTCTCTCTTTCACTCAGGCGATCTTTTAAGAATCAGAATTAAATAAAATTAAAAGCAAGCAAGAGCCTCATTGCATAAGGTCATTTGCTCTATAACCTCCTATCTTTGTCTGGTGCGATTTTCTTTGTTCGTATAAACCCTTTGACCGTGCTGGTTCAAACCCTTGCGGTGGCTGTGGGACACAATTAAGTGCTTGTGTGAGTGTGTCTGCGTGTATGTTTCTGAAAGAAAGAGAGAAAGAGAGCGCGTCCACGCGTCCGGTTGTTCCCGAGCTCGTTCTTTGTTATAGAAAGTTACAAAACGGGGGGACATATACAGGGAGTGACACGAGCACGAGTGTGCAATTGCCAGTATTGCAACATATGGTCGCTCCAAGGGTGTTTCTAAAAATTTTTCTAGAAAATTGAGGCCCCTGCTGTGACACTCAGCGCGACATCTTACACGCTTTACTCATGCCGAGTGTCACATTCGCAAGATGCAATTATTGGCGGAAACGTTTTTAGTTGGGCCACGCAATTTCCCGTAGATTTCTTCAGTTTGAGTGGTCTGCGGTCAAGTGAACTCACTGATGATTATCACAGTGCGCAGAAAAACTGGTACACAAATAGGTTTACTCTTTTTTACGTATGTACATTGTATGACGAGCGATTATCGCCATCTGTTTGGCTCAGGTGGCAGGATCGATCAGGCGCACCACTTGAGCATGGGCGGCTCGGCGTTGGAGGAGGCCCTCGAGTTCGACCAGGCCGTCTCGGACACCTACAAGCTCCTGGACCCGGAAGAGTCCCTGATCGTGGTCACGGCCGATCACTCGCATACCTTCACCATGGGAGGCTACCCACAGCGAGGCACAAACATCCTCGGTGAGATATCGGGCCGGTGCGCGTAGTTGGTATGGACAAAGCATTGGTGCAGAGTACAGACACGTTGTATTTTCGTCTCTTGGAATGCTTCTTCGAAGTCGAGGTTTTTTGGTGGCGTTCAATTCGATCACATTTTTTTCGTGTACTTTCTTCTTTCTTAAAATGGCTTCAATTGGGGACGGTATATTAATAGTACTAAAAAAACGAAAGAAGAATTTGAAAACACGGCGGAAGTGCGTTAATCTTACAAATTTCCTTGACTCGGTGTAGTCTTACCTTTTATTTTGAATCGATTGTCGTTACACGTAAGAGCGTATGCAAATGGAGGCCCCTTTAGTGATAATGGTTCCGCTGCCGCCCCGTGAATGACGACCTCGATAGCTTTCTGTAGCGAAAGTTCTTCCTCCTCTTGGGGCCACTGATCATCTGGGGCGCGGGGGCTCAATCCCTAGCGAAATGAAGTATGCTAACAGTAAACGGAGGGTGGGCGAGCGCTGCTTCACACCCTCTCTTCCCCTTCGCTTCTTACCGCCCGCTTCGGGCATTTGCCATCCCTCGCATGACCCTGCTTGCAAATAGGAACGTGCGTGGACACAGCTACACTTTAAAGCCGGGGTCACACTGCTTATGGACCTTTTCCGGTTATTCTCACCCCCGGCCGCCAAGAAGGCATATCCGATATGGGTGACGAAAAAATATTAAAACGTTTCAAACTGCAACTAGTAGAAAAATAAAGGGGAGACAAAACGAGAATGGGTGACGGTTATGTTTATCTGCTTACGTGGCGACGGCAAAACATTGTTTTCGCCCATACTGGAAGTGACGATATTTCAAGATGGCGGCGCCCTTCTCTCCCAAGAAGTGCTCCTGGTCGGTTCCATGGAACCGACCAGGAGCATGCATTTTCAGCGACGCGCGTGCTGGGATGAGGACTTGTAAATATTGGAACGGTGTATATATCGTACAAACGACAGTCTGCATACAGATTTGAAAGGGAGTCACTGCGATGTCTGTGCTTGGAATGCCGCATGGCGATGAGTTCAAGGAGAGAACTTGGCACGCGGCATCCGAACCACGGATATTTAGGTGGCTCGTGCTTGCAGACCGTCTTTTGTATCATGTATGAGCAGTGCGACTCCGGCTTTAGAAATCTGGAGCGTCTGTTCAAGAAGACAACGTCTACTCAGCGTTGTCTTTTTGATCTTTGTTTTTCTGATATTTGTATACTCAGCGTTGTCTTTTTGATCTTTGTTTTTCTGATATTTGTATACTCAGCGTTGTCTTTTTGATCTTTGTTTTTCTGATATTTGTATATGCCTTACACGTTTTTTCTAGTGGTTCTTGTAACCGGTCATACAAGAAATGTTTCTTTTTTAGAGTATTCTCCTCTTTACGATATTTTCTATTTGGTTGATTTTGCTGGCTATCTTTATGCTACTGAATGGCTTGTTCATATTGCTTCAGTTTCTATATGTTCATATCTTTTTTTTTTAAGTAACGAGTAATTAAAGTAATCCGTTACCAATATTTGTTACAAAACATTAAAGATTACTGCCGCAAACATTTAACGTGGTAATTACAAAATTTCTGAAAATGTAACGGATTCCAAGTACCCTTTATTTGTAGCGGATTACTTTACAAGTCTACATATAGGCAATAAACACAAACCTTTAGGAATGTTGAACGTAACGGTCAACAATCCCGAATGTTCCTTGCAGAAAATTGTATTAAGTTTGGCTGAAATTCTTGGTTTCTTTATCGCCCAAACCCTTCCTCCCTTCATAAAAACTGACTAAAAATGTTTTTTTACGGCGTGATAACCTGCCCCTCATATGTGAAGAGGTACAGACACCAGGTTAGGAATGCTTCACTTAAATTCTACCATACCGCACCCTCGCATCTTTTGCGAAACCTTGCATTAGCTCTACCAACTGGCATTGCCAAAAAAGTGTGCGATATTCCCCATAAGAATATCAAGGTCTGATGTGGAACTATTAGATCAGAAAATAATCCACTTACGCAAAAGGGACAGAAATGGCCAGGTCCGAACGTTCTATATGCCTTAGTTAAGAAGGTTGTCTAATTAGGTTCAATTTGCAGGTATTGCTGGCTACTCGGACGTCGATCAGCTGCCTTTCACTGTCCTCACCTATGGCAACGGACCAGGCTTCTCTACGGACAAGACTAATTTTACGAACGCCGATGTGGGTAAGAACGAATTCCCCCGCATTGCTCGTCGTGTAACGACCACCAAAGGTTCGCGGTTGGGTTAAACGTTCCACCATTTCGTGAACTAGTCGGCGCCAGGCTAAGACTTCAGTGGGCGCTCCATCTCGAGCTTTCTGCCTGTGGATCGTGGCACGCGCAGCCGAAACCTGGTGAAAGGCAACAAACGCGTGCTGGAGGCGTGGCCTCCATCTCAATTCCTAGCCTGTCACCTACTATAAATACTAACATTCCATATCACACTTCAAGAAATCCCCGAGTGTATTAAGCACCGTACAGTGCACTCGCAGCACCATGCTATTGTTGATATTTATTTAATCAGTTAAAACAGCGAGAATGAGAGATCGATGCCATTCTGGCCCGCTGCTCTCTGCGGCATGCTGGCGGGTGACGTAGAAAACGCGGCTCTTCTGGCTTGCAACCCATGAGGTTATAAGGTCCGTTCACACACTTGCGTTTGACTACAACCGACTGAGAAAAGACCCGTTTTAAGGCGAAAACCTTATATGTCCCATTACGAGAAAAGGCGGCGGCGTCGTGCCCGAAAAATGGTCACACCAACGCGTCATCAAGCACACGCCGCTCAAGGTCAAAGCGGACGCGCCTCTGAAATAAAACACAAAGAAAAGCGCAGTAACGCAGATGCTTCGTCGCGGAAGCCGTGGAGCCGGCGGAGGTACCGCGCCTGCGCAGTGGGGGAGTGTGATGTCACAGCCGGAGCGCCGTGTGCGAAAGAAAGACGTGGCGCGCTGGTAGCAGGAATGCACTGCGTGTAGGAATGGTTTCGCATTCCTACAGGTAAACAGTCTTAATTATCCTCCTGTAATTTTTCCAACATTGGGGACTTTTTAAGCCTCTTGTGACGGCTTACGACCAGCGCTGCAGCAGCGTATCCGGTCGAAAGCCGTTGCTAAAGGCTTAAAAACTGATCTTGTATCAGTGGGTTGTACTCGGTCGCAAGACTGGCGGGATTTCTCACATGCAGCGTAAACCAGCGTCGCTGCACCTCAAAAGCAGACCGACCTTACGCTCTATGAAGGCGAATGTCAAATTTGGGTTTCTGGTGTTAGCTCCATCCTTGCAGAGCAGAGTCCGTATCCCCAGCTGACGTATTTGTGGTGGTGTTGTCGTGCAGCGAAACCCGACTACATCCAGCGGTCGGCCTTCAAGTTGACCGAAGAGACCCACGGCGGCGAAGAGGTGGCCGTGTACGCGACCGGGCCCTGGGCGCATCTCTTCTCGGGCTCGCACGACCAGTCCTACATCCCGCACGTGCTCGCGTACGCCTCGTGCGTCGGACGTTTTGCCGGGGACCAGTGCGCGTCTCCCGGCGGGGGCGCTGCGACTCCTTCCTCGCTCGGCGTCGTGTCGGCGCTCATGATGGCCACCATGGCCGCCGTGGGCCTGCGGTGACCACCGATGGACACAGCGTCTCCGAACGCTGTTCGGGCGTACAAAATGTTCGCGTAAATAAACCAATGATCCGAGTGCAATGAAACTTTTCACAAAGGTGTTTCAAGGTGGTGCATTTATCTTACTCAAATTTCATGAATGTAAGTTTAAAAAAAAGGTTTTCTTTTTTATGCACGAGGAGGAAAATGGTAAAATATTTTTGGTTGACGCTGCTACTTACAGATGGCGCAACATAACGCTAAAACCTTATTTCTTCTTCGAAATAAACACCCGAAAGCAAATCCAGCGGATCAAAGCATATGTAATAGGGAGTTTTCGTAGATCGTTTTCGCCGTCCCGCAACGGCCCTCCGCAATCCGCTACGATACCCGGAACTCTACGGTCAAGGCTATCGGCGCGCAGGCGCAGTAGCAACTTCTTCGTTGCGGAGAGCTTAGCGGAGGAGGAAACGCGATCTACGAAAACTCCCCAATGTGAGTAGCAGCGTCAACCAGATGCTATTCGCCGATTCCCTCCCTGTCCGTAAAGAAATAGTTTTTTTTTTTTTCGTGCTCATTTTTTTTTTTTTAACTTATAAAGTTTGAGTATGAGAAATGCACCGCCTAAATACACCTTTGCGAAAAGTTTCAGTGCACTTCGTTGATTGGTTCATTTATTTCATTTTTTCTTTCCCCCGAAAGCGTTCGGAAACACCTTGTAGACCTTGTTTGATTTTGTGGCGTCATCCATCGAACGTCTTCGAGACACTCGAGTTGGCTGCAGGCGTTTAGGACGACAAACTGGAAGCTTGCCACCTGAGCAAATTGGCGGCGGGAAAGAGCTGGAAGGGCGAGCAAATTAAGTAGGCATTTCCTTTCTGCTTCTCTCCTGTGCCATTTATCGTTATTGTTTTGTTTTCATGAAAGAGAATCGGTGACGCACCTTTGGCTTAGTAGACTCAGTCTCGACGCTGCGAACAAAGCTTTTAAAGTGCGCCCTTGAAACACCGATGTATCTCGATGAACGCACAGCGTGATAAGAAGAACGAGACACGTGACCATTTGCGAGACCTGCAGCCTCGGCTGATAGATGATGCCCAAAGTGAACAAATTCTATTGAATTCTAACAAACCGTCCTCCATTTGATCGCTATGCCTTTAATCGGTAGAAACTTGCAGGAACCGCTTTCCCCAGACGACCGGTTTGAGAGCTGTCTGAGGGATGCCACAGCCAGACATGCTCCGCCTTCGAGGAAGGTTCTGCACGCTTTACAGGGTTGAGTTGGTGACATACGACAGACTATTGCTGCACAGGTCATCTGCGAAACGGTTCACTGGCCGATCGCGAGCGTATATATCTTTGGCGATTGATTCGCTGTAACTCTCCGTTGGCTCATAGGATCCTGCTCAGAAATGTCTTTCAGATGCTCCTGGCACTCCGCATTCCTTTCTCGACGTCCTAAAAAGAAAAAAAAGAAAAGAAAACGTTATACTAGACAGTTTTGGGAAAACAGTGCAAATGGTTGTAATAATAAAGACAAAGGAACGTCTTATGCATGCTGCAAGAACTGTCTCGTAGCGTCGCCATTTTCTGCTGGTGTTCGACCTTCAGCTTCAAGCCTTTCAAAGACGTGCCCCCACGGTGGTCCGAGTGATGACTTTGCAGACGGTTGTTCCAGATGCAATAGCCAGGCTACGTTCTGAAGTGCGGTACTTGCAAACGTGTATAAGGCAGCTTCAATATTTTGTCACCCTTGTCGAAGGTTCTCCTACCCTTCGGTGCTTTGCAACGGTTCTTTGTTCACGTGGGTCAATGAGAGCATCTATATAAATTTAAGAAAAAGAAAGTACAAAACTGTTCGCGCAAACAGTAGACACTTTTTTGTCTCGTCTTGTAGCCCTTTTCTTTTTTTTTCTTCAATCTCTTTGTCGTAATGTTTACCGGTCATTATTGTTTCCCCGAAACATATACACATATTTGAGAAAGAGAATGCCAGCACTAAATTTAATTTCTAGTCAACTTGTCCCAAGTTGTGCAGCTCACACAGATCATACTATATTTGGCCGAAAGGGTTTCAGGAGCATGTGTTACTAGTCCTACAGGAAGGTACTTGCACTCGACGATCACTTCATGTTGTCCATACGCCCGTCATGTTGTGTCTTTTGCTTTCCGTCGCCCTCATGTTCATCCATATCACTGGTGCTTGGTTACATCCTCATTTGTTCTGTATTAAAAAAAAAAAAACTGGTTCCAAAATCCGCATTTACTAGCGGTCCATTTTTATTTTCTCTTGGCTGCACCTAATAACTGATGCAAGACTTAAAAAAATGTCTTTATGGCCAAGGAACTTCACCCCACTGTAATCGAGAATAAATATTTTGGTTAAGTTTTGACCTGCGCTGGTGTCCTTGCTTTTTACACGTTTATATGCGCTGTCAAAAGCCGCTGCATGTGTAGGGCGGCACGAGAAAGAGAGCTGTAAAACGCGCCGTCATTTTCAGTGACGAACTTCGACGCAAATAACAAGAGTGCCAGAAAATTTTGCTTCCGGCGCCATCTCCCGGTAGGCGGAATGTTCATTCGGTCAAAAGCAAACAACGTAGGAACAAGTGCTTATGTCGCCGATCGGTAGATGGTGCCACAACGACGACTCTCACGAGAGACGGCCGCCTGCGCAAGGTTTCGGGGCGGTCAGAAGGGAGGCATCGAACCTACGTCACTAAAAGTGGGTTCGCCGGAAGTCACGTGAGTTTCACTCCTCGTGCTCTCCACGACCGTGCGTAAGACTTTTTTTTTTTTTTTCCTTCTGGTCTTTTTTGCAAGCGATTGTAGAAAACGAAGTTTCAGTTCCACTAGCTTTTTATCGTGCACCGTTGGTTAGTCTGCGTGCTGTGAAAGTTGAGGACGAAGGGTCAGTGGATCGACATGATGGAGGTCAATGATGAAAGCGTTGCGAGTACAAGCCAGGGTACGAGTGCATGCCATCAGTCCGATGGTACAGAGCCATACAGGGCAAAGACAAGCTATCGAGTTTTGAATAACAAATTTTAGAACGCTCGCAGAAATTAGGATTGCTAGCGTACGACACGCCCGATCACATTGCTTAAGGTTCAGACACCGAGGTCGTCGAATCATCGAATACTCTTCAGGCTGGAGATGCCTGCCGTCTAGAGAATACGAACTGGTGAGTGCACCAGGTGCAAGTAAACGTCGAGCATAAGCTGTGCGTGTTTTGTCTAGAACATGCGTAGAACTTTTTTACTAGGTTCACTGACTCCTCTTCTTCTACCTTTGCAACACCATTAGGCGATGAAAAGCATATAAAAGAAACCTTGTCTGCTTGGATTGCTCGCGGAGGTGCAAAGAATAACAAAAATATATAAAAAAAATATTACGCGCTCGCTCGGTAAGCACGGGGATGATACAACCACGGCCACTCGATTAGGACTCATACAACTCACGTGACTTCCAGCGATGCCTCTCTTCTGAGCGCCCCGACATCTTGAGGTACACACTCGCACTCATAGACAGGCATGCACACGCACGCACAACACAAATATCGTCGAACTGTTTGTTTTTGTTGTTACTTAAGCAGGGAACACATGAGCGACAAAAACGGGCGCCGCGCGGCAGTTTCCGTGGAAACTTGCGCTCACGCCGTTACGTAGCGCCTTGGCATAGGTCCACGTCGCAGCGTCCTGGGCTGTTGCTATGGGAACCAGCGCGCGGCGCCAGTTTTTGTAGCTCATGTGTTTGTTCCCGCTTTACACTGCGGGCTGAAAGACAATCCTCTGTGGCCTCAACGGCGCCGTGTAGCGCTGTCTGCGGTACGAGCAGAAAACAATAGCGTAAACGTGTGAAAATATCGAAAGAAAAACAAATTGAGCTTCAGTTCTCAGCCGAGGTTGGGAATTTTAATTGTTTATGATTTTTTTTAGCCAGCTCTTTATGTCCCTCTTCCAGTACTGTCACATATTTCTATCCTTGTGTTATTTTCAACTTTACTTACTGTTGGTTTTACTTCAGATATACATGTTTTTTTTTGTTTTTTTTAACTTAACAAATTTGTTTAAAAAACGCCGTGAAAGTGCGGTTTGTGCATGTGAGTTTTACGGCCTGGGAGACAGAGTACGGGGGCTAATTGTAAAGATTAGTCGGCAAATAATTAAAATTAGTTAATTACTTTTTGATTCATGAAAATAGACATATGGTTGCAATTAGAAACTTGCTCAGCGTCATCGAAAACCACTAAATCAACTATTTTTAGAACGATATAACGCAAGGGCAGTATATTACGGCTTCCGTAAAAACGCTCAATTTGGACGCGTTTCTAGGTTTCGGTTTCTTATCGGAGCGCGTCTTTGCGCCCGCCCCCTCGCTTCCCTCGTAGCATGGGCGCACGTGTGTTGCGCGTCTCAGCCACTGGGGAGTAGGACCGCGGGCGCAGAGATGCGCTCCGATATGAAATCGAAACCTAGAAACGCGTCCAAATTGAGCGTTTTTACGGAAGCCGTAATACACTGCCCCTGCGTTATATCCTTCTAAAAATTGTGGATTTAGTAATTTTCGATGACGCTGAGCAAGTTTCTAGTTGGAACCATGTGTCTATTAATAATCAAAAAGTTAATTAACACATTTTTATTAATTAACCGATTGATCGTTACGATTAGCCCCCTATAATTGTAATTGTAATTAAATTACATTTTGCAAGTAATTTGCTCATATGTTCCACTGCAGCATGATAGATAGGCCGATTTTCATTGGTTTAACTGGGTAAGCGAAAAGCAACGATCGATTGCTGTGCCGAGTGCCCTGTGGCGAAGTGTGCGCTCCAGCAGTGACGTACGCAAGTGTTTTGGAGATGAAACCAAAGGAAGGGGGGAGAGAGGGGTCACAGAAAGAAGAGGGTACGTTGAGACCTAAAAAGAAAATCTGAAGTGTGACACTGAGCATGGCAGATTTTACTTGCTTACGCCACGCTCAGTGTCAGATCACAGACTTCATTTTTAGGCCTATGGTCACTGACAGTTGAAAAAACGTGGGCGTGGCCTATCGTGCTCGTGCTTTTTGATTTTTGTGAATCGTTGCGCTCCTATTGGCTACTCGCCGCGCTCTGCGTGCGCGTTTCTTAACCGATCAGTGAGTATAGCACTATCCTCGCATTTTCATTCAGGGACTCAAACCGAAAAACATAACGTTTCGGTTACGGTTACGATTAGCCCTCCCAGTTGATAACGGTTTCGTTTCTGTTTTTTACGGTTTTAATTTTTTTCGGTTTCGGTTACCGGTTACACGTTCCTAAAAACCGGTTTACTTCGGTTTTTCCAATAATTTGTTTAATTGAAATGCTAGATAGTCGTTTTATAATAAACGGTTTAAAGTAGTTTCAGATATCCAACAACATGAAATTCAAGGAACTTAGAAACCTCTTAATACTTCTAACTGGTGAAAAGTTGCACACGTTTCCAGCTACAACGCTTGCTTACTACATCTACTTACATTGTATAGTTACAAAATAAAGAAAGAAATGACGAAGACTCAGAACAGAGCAGCTGCGCGTGAGTCCATCCACAGCGTAGCGAGGAAAAATGTCAGCGCGCAAGGAGTGTTTTCTTACACCGGCAGCGTTATCACTCGTCGAGATAAGAAAGTCAGTACCAGGAACGGTCACGCTCGACACGATTACGTGCATTCAGGACGTACAGTACTATACTGAGTCACCTCGATCAGCACAATTTCGCCGAGTTGAAGTTAGATTACAAGTCCTCCGAGATACATCTCGTCCCGTCTTATCTGCTCGCACGGCCAGCCGTTAAAAACCGCCTTGGACTTTCGTGTGGAGCGGACCTACAATCGGGACCGAGTAAAATCCGAACAGCGGAGCGCATGGCCTTTGATACCCGCTGCGCAACCCAGAGGCACCTATAATAGGAACTGATAAAACTGGCATCATTAAAATAGCGCGAACGTGACAAGGACAAAAAGGCACACGTACGGCAGGACTGGCGCTGACTTCCAACTTAGTGTATTGCCTCATCCAACCAAGCAATACCATACCATCGCCTGCGAACATAAAAAAAAAAAACAGAATAATAGTTATACATTTAGATTACACGTCTACCACGCGCCTATCTTCAGAAAGAACCATCAAGAAAGGATAATTTTTTCTCAATGAGACACACCGATGGCATGCTGCCGCACTTGTCTCCCCCTTTTTCGATAAAAAACGCCTCTATAATTTCCCTCTCTGTCTTGTCCTTTGCTCTCTTTATGAACTCTGTCAAACTAAAAAGCGGTGTACACCCGGATCATTTCCAACTTTTTCCTGTTTAGCTTTCCTCCTCAACTCATAAATCGCGCATTGTACCAAACAGTTCAAGAAGTCGGAAAGGGGGGAGACCCCTCTTGCTCGGAATCTCGCTTGTGTAGCCGGACACAGCCATTGTCCCCCTAGAAGATTAGCCCGTCGCTCAAAATTCCGACTAGTTGATTTCCCCACCCCGTTCACCCCGAAGCTGACAGTGCTGTGGAAGCTACGTGCTCGTTGGGCCAGCCACACATTTTCCACGTGATCACGCTCTCTAGCGCATACCGACCCGCAGAGAATGAGGTCAGGTGATGAAAGAGAGACGGCTGATTGGTCCGGCAAGCGCGTAGCTTCCACCGCAATGTCAGCTTAGGGGTAAAGGGATTAAGTAAGGTCCGGTGTCGTGTAACGTGCGCTTGGGCCTGGTGACGCGCTGCGGGGGCCCGGTGGCTAGTAGGCCGGTGACGCGCTGCGGGGTCCGCGGATGTATCACAGTGAAAAAGCGGAGAGTTTACGAAGGAAAGGAGGTACGAAATAGTCGGCTATGTTTTGCAAATTTTCGTAGCGAAAGTCAGGCTTCTGACTTTCTACCTTTGTTCTTTTGGCCCACTGAACGATGTGCTATTAGTAAAATCCCAATATAAATTGATTTACTCCAGCCCAAAATTCGTTTCATGGGCCCTTTAACGTGCTCAGCAAGAGGACCACCCAAATTGCTTCGTACCGACAGATTATTTTCGCGCGCTGTGTCATTGAAACACCGACCCGTTTGTCCAATGTAAATGCGGCCACAGCTAAAAGGAACCCAAGGCGCGTGTTTGTCCTTGTCAAGTTCGCGCTATCTTAATCATGTCTAATACGAACCAACTAGCCCAATCAAAAGTCGTGTAAAACTGCGGAGTGGAGATAAGGGCTGCGAAAGTGTGCGTGCACACATCAGAGCGGCGTTTCTCGAATCGCGTGAGCGAGGGCGCCACAATCCGCAGAAACACACACGGAAGCACGGTAGCACCGCCGGCACCGCTTCCAAGGACGGCGAGAAAGAGAGAGAGGATTGGAAGTAGCAACGAACAAAGTCTGTAAGGCGGTGTCTGGGCTTTCAGCCTCGCCCGCCCATCAAAACGATACAGACGCGATACGCCTCGCCTCGTCCAGACGCGTCGTCTGCTAATCCGAGTGCAGCCGGCTATGCTTGGGGCATCGGGTATGGCCGCCGTGGGACCGGTGTTCTTCGCTCTAGTCCTGTTCCTTGGTTCTGCGACCGATGGCGGCGAAGGACTATCTTTCTTTCCCGTTCCTGACGCGGAAAAGGAAGGTGAGTGGAAGGCACGTCGTGGGTCGAAGGCTTGGCGAAGAAATTACGCGTGTATGCTCGTCCGTGTCGGCCCGAGGGAGTGAGCACGTCTCCAACACGCGGCCATGCAATGCTGCCATAAACCGGCTGTTTGGCGTTTCTGTAGCTACCGATCAGACATGAGTCATGGTCATATACCAGCGTTTGTCAGCGTCTATCATCGCAAGCGAGACAACCCGTTTAAAAAAAGAAACAGTTAAATCAACAAAGTCAGAGTGCAGCTCGCCCTATCAGAGCGATAAAAAATATGCTGTAGTCATTTTTTTAAGTGTTTTTTTTTTCTTCTTTATATTGTTTGAGTGTTGCGTACCGAAAGGCGACCTAAAATGTTTTATTTTCGGGGCAAGTGGCGCTCTTCGAAGTTTGAGAGCTACGAGCATATCGGTGGTCAGCCTGTGGCAGTTGGCACGAGCGCCAGCACCTCAACCGTTTCTTCTACTTGAACATTACAAAAGTGCATGGTATAATAACCTACGTGCGATGGGACCGTGCTAATCACAGTATACTGAAGCAAAAGACCGACTACGCTAGCTGGCGGAAGGCGGAAATGACGTACATATATACCAATGGACCTTTTTCGAGTAACGAGCGCCGTCTGGGGAGTCGTCTGCGAACCACAAATGAAAAGCAGCCCAACATGCCTTCGCCCGCCAAAACACATTGGCATCGTGTTGTTGTATCAGTTTTCAGTTCTTTTTTCCTTCTACTATCAATACTAAAAAACGAAGCGTCAAAACAGACGCGCGAAGATAGATGCTGAAAACGTTGGTCGTGCGGGACGGTGCCCCGCGAAAATGGCGACAGCGGGAAGATAGGCCTAAGGAGAGGGTGTACGCATGCGCAGAAACTTACTCGAAAAAGGTTCATTGGAGGATACAGTCTAAAGGAGGCCACGCCACCCTGCGAAGATGTGAACGATGGTTCAATCTGTGCAGAAAGAACTGGCACGGCCTGGCGGCCAAACCGTGAACCAAAGAAAAAGAAAATGAAATTAACGTCGTTTGGCTTGGGAATTAACGTCATTTGGTCTTGAAGTATAAATTCCGAGAAAGCAATAACGGGGCAGATGCCGAAACTGACATGTGCGATCACTGTCAAATATTGGCAGACATCAAAAACATAATCTAGGATTGTCCCAAAAGTGACATCAAGCGGAAACTAGCTTTGAATGCTCTACGGCCACAAGAAAGACCATCCTGCCTAAAGGAATGGGTTCTTCCAGACGGCACCCCCCAGCACAGAAAAGCAATTTTAGACTCGCGGACAGGGTTCATCAAGTCCGCCGGACTTGATATTTACATTTAGTACCAATCCCTCCTTCCCCTCTCCCTGTAGCCAATGACGAGTTCCGAGGGCAACAGGTACCCCACCTGAAAATAAAACATTTTCTAATTCATGGCTTGGGAATACCTAAGGCTAGGAGCCAGGTTTATAGAATCTGACGATGCCACCTGCATAAAAGGGCCTTGGCCTTAGCCTCAACTCTCAACTTGGGTACCACATTTTAGCCTTATATGCTGATGCGCCATTAGCCCCCCCCCCCCCCCCCCCCCCCCCCCTCAATCAATACGAGTACAGTCTGCGCGGACATTAACAACTCGACGTATTGCTGGGTTTCAGCAGTTGTGTGAGCTGAAACTTCAAACACCGAAACGTATTGCAAAGGCTTATCGTCAACCAGTCAATCAATTTCCGCTGATGAAAGCAAGTCTTTATTTAATATTAAGTTGCGCAGGTTACAACAGTACAGAAACAGTCAAAACGTCTGGTTTGCGTCTGCCACGCTCTAAAAAATATACATTCTTGAAAGGTTCTTCGATCGCCCAAAGAACCTTTTTAGCTCGTGAAGAACGGTTGCTGCCTCAAGCACTATCGCCTTGGTGAAAGTGCTTGACTAACAGGGCGATGAGGAACTCTTTCGTACCAAAAGAAGCTTCGTGAAAAACCCCTTAGAGGTTTTTCACGAAGAACCCTTTTAGGGCGTGCTTAAAATAACCCTTTGGGTACAAATAATGGACTAACCGTATAACCCCTAAAAGTACTCTTATGACCAGGTATATATATATATATATATATATATATATATATCTACAATGCACCTTGTTTTTGAGAGTTACAGCTTAGTAATCCCACGAAGTCTGCTACGAATACAAAGAAACGACAAAAGCAACACCAAGTATTTTATACAATCTTTTGCGAATGAGTTATATAAAGGACATGTTTAACTCTTTCGCGAAAAATTGTAGGCAATACCAACGCGCTCCCTAAAAAAAAAAGAGTAGCAAGTATTGGCTGGGAAGTAACCACAATTTTTGCAGCTTACTGATAAACGTTTTCTCTAGCACGCTGTGTTAGGTCGTACGTCCATATATGTCTCTGTCACGCGCGTTCATTCGAACGTCTCTTCTTTTTGACGCACACAGTCTTTTTGTTTTCCTAGTCCACGAGAAACCATCGAATGCTGACGAACTGCAGACGTCATACAAAAAGCAGTCTGCACAAACTATTTGAGGCCTTCCTTTTATGACGGTCACGTTGATCACACAGAAATTGTCTGCATACATGTTCGAAGCATTGGTGACAATCAGTTCGTCGAACGACGTTTCATCGACAGTTTATTTTATCGAAAGGCTTCCCGCATCCGTTTTATCGGCAGACTTTACGACGTTTCGTCGAATACGACCCTTCTGTTTTCGCCAAAAAACTTTTTTTGTCTCGCCCGGTTTACCGGGGGGAGAAAGGGGGGGGGGGGGGGGGGGGGGGGGCTTGGAGGCCTGGCTGGGCAAGATGCCTCAGAGGATCACGCGGTAGCTTACTGCAGCTTGGCAAAAAAAGAAAAAAAAAGATGTTGATTAAACGTCGCAGGGGCATGTCTCCACAGGAAGAGCTTCCATGAAATGTACAATGTCGACGAACCGTGTATTTATAACCTGTCTGCATGAAAAGCTGTCCAAAAAACGTGTTGCGATGAAACGATAGGAATCCTCGAAGCGTGTATGAAGCGTGCTTGGAACACGCTTGAGACACATACTGCAGCGAAGAGCGTGGCTCCTGTATGATTTACGATCTCACGCAGCGAAGTCGAGCTTCTGGTTCGACCAGGGCATGTCCGATATCGAGGCTCGCCTCAAGATCCAGCACAGCACCGGCCTGGCGAAGAGGGTGGTCATCTTCCTGGGGGACGGCATGGGGCTGTCCACGGTGACCGCGGCCCGCATCTACAAGGGACAGAAGCAGCGCAAGGCCAGCGGCGAGGAGAGCGTCCTGTCCTGGGACGCCTTCCCGCACGTGTCCCTGTCCAGGACGTACGGGCTGAACGTGCAGACGTCGGACTCTGCCAACACTGCCACGGCCTACCTTTGCGGGGTCAAGGCCAACTACGAGACGCTGGGCGTCGACTCCAGAATACGGGTGAGGCTGGGGAGCTCATCTTTTTGGCGATAACGGTGGCGGATAACGGGAGTCGGGTTAGATTACGGGACCTATGCGCCTTTCCAGCGCTTATCAGCCGGTCGATAAATTCCGCGGCCGTAGACGGACGCGCGGCGTCTGATATTCCGCTGCAGAGAGTTACGGCGCTTGTCCAGTACGCGCTGCACAGCCCGGGAGGCAAAATGGAGGCGCACAGAAGGCGATCTTTTTCAATGGTCTATGCACGTGTACGAGTAGCAGAGAGATACCGAAGTTAAAGGAAAGTTTTGTATACAGTATTCAAAGACGGAAGAAGTGGGGTTCGTCGTGGTTGTTTCCGAAAGTTTGTCGACAGGGATCGAGTCCGAGCACTTCGTCGCCTTCCGCTGCCACTGAGCGTTTCTCGTGCCAACTGCCTTGCCTTCGACAAATGACTGACAAACGAGCATTTAAAAAAAATAACAGCTGCCACGTTTTAAACGCTAGTCTGGCCACTCTGGATAGAAAATATTTTGATGGGCACCAGAGGAGAGATTGTAAGACTGCTGGAAATCATCTCGGGGGATTGAATGATGTACAACTAACTGACACAACTGGGGTCAGGTAGAACGGAGGAAAATTGGGACTCCCTCCCACGTGGCTCCGGCGCAAAGTCTCAACCCTGTCTCCCAGTGGGTCCGGTGCTGGGGTAGCGCCGACTAGGTTTGACCAGAGGAAAATTGGCGACTCCCTCGTCGTAAAAAAGAGGCGGAGGTGACGTTTTTAGTTTTTTTGGGGGGTGATCCAATCACCGAAGGTCATCCTGGTCATATCCCACACCGCCTAGTGATAGTTGCGAAATCGTAGAGGGGAAGTGAATTGGCTTAGAAGGGCAAAGAGAAGAGTCATACTTTTTTTTTTCTTAGTTTCTAGGCGAGGTAGCGAAGGCTATCGCCCAATATAATGGGCACAGCCGTACCCCCCATATAAAGTGTACATCCATCCATCCATCGCTTTTTGCATTGAGCAGATTTTCTTCTGTGTAGTTTTATTTTGATGTGTTTGGCTCTCCTCTCTTACGTCCGAAAATGTGCTGTGTACCACATATTAGGCCATGAGCTGTTTGCGGACACATATAAAAAAAGAAAAGGTAATTATTGTTAGTAGTAGTAGTATCGACATTTTAAACACAAAATGGACAAACCGAACCTGAAAGCCTACATTTATATACCTGCACACTAAGGATGACGCTGAGCAGAAGACTTCAGTCGAAAAGAGAGTGAAATATTTATTTATTTATTTATTTTACCCTCAGGGCCAGAGGCATTACGAAGGAAAGTAAGCACGCAAAATAACAGTGGAAAATACAAAATAGTTACAGAACAGGGAATACGAAGCGTAGGTGATGTTTTCATTTTTTTTTTTTTTTTGCCCGATCTCCCAAAGGTTATCCTGGTGATGTTTCGAGAGAGAAAGAAAGCGCGACTTGCGAAAAAGGATATACTAACGTGGGAGTCACAGCCAGAAGCTGGACGATCATCGTTAGTTGGGAGAAGGGGGGTGGGAATAACAGCTGATAGGGAGAGAAAATTCGCTCTAAATGGCGGAAGTAATAATATGTTTTTGTTTTTAGACTTCGGCTAGGTGGCACGAGCTACCGCCCGTTACGAAGGGTACACATTCACATCCATCCACCCAGGCTTGACTATCAGACGATCAACACACGCCATAAGCAAGACGGCTGCGATCAGAGGCCAGCAACGTTACTAGAACACTCACTTGGGAAACTCGCCGTCGAAACCTGGGCCGCTGGCGTCCACTGAGTCGGAGCTAAATACGACAACAGCGCCACTCTTTATCATTTGCCTGTACTGTGGTCGCCTTGAGCTTTTGGAAAGCATGTTTTTGCGTAAAAACAAACGGAAAAGACTCTTTTTGTATGAAATTTATTGGAGTTTAGTACTAAATAATGGGCGCGTGATGTTTTTAAAATATTTAGATTGCAGGGTTTTGCGGCACAATTAATATTGTTTTTATACAACCATGCCTCAGCGGTGATTTCAGGTAGCGCGTCCCGACCTAGGTGCATTTTAACTTCGGTAGTAAGTCGCGGCGCGTTCGTTGGGGAGACGGGGGTGGCGCCCTTGTAACCTCTTCCGTTGTATCTGTTTCGGCTCGAAAATGGCCGATTAAAGCCAAAATAGAAGTAACGTACAGTTCCTCGAGTGGCCGCTGCGGGAGAAATGGCGGCGTTGTATTCGTCATTAGCTCGGTTCTGGAGGACAGATCGGGGCCACTTTTTCAGACAAGTCTCTATGGCAGTTTCCCAACTGAGTGTTTTAGTAACGTTGGAGGCCAGCTTACAAACGCGCCAAACCCTAGAGTCTTGTGTGTGGGTGTTTACCGCCACCAGCTGATACGTCGAACATTGAAGTAACTCCCTGGGTGCGGCCAGCGGAACCCGCAATACGTCACCTGTGTCGTCACACCCCTTGAAAATAAATATCTATGTTTCGGGCGCCGGGACCCGCTTTCCTGTTTGGTTCGGACCGCCCTTGACCTGCCGCGAGCCCTATCAGAGTTCCGAAACTTCTGCCCGAGTTGAGCCAAACTTTTGAGCCAGACTTCATTCCCCGGTCGGCGTAGGCGCCGATCTAAGTGATCCGAATCTCCTCTTCCAGAGCGGAGACTGCCACAGCGACCCGAGCACGCACCTGCCGAGCATCATGCAGTGGGCCCAGGCGGCTGGCCTGTGGACGGGCGTGGTGACCACCACCCGGATCACGGACGCCACCCCGGCGGCCAGTTACGCCCACGCCGGCTACCGCAAGTGGCAGTCGTCCGTGCCCGACGGCTGCGCCGCCAAGGACATCGCCTACCAGCTCGTCCACAATACGCCGGGCTCACAGTTCAAGGTATTCGACCCACGCCTGCTAGCGCCTTTTCGCGGATGTCTCTCGGAGACATAAACGCTCGGACTTCTATACGGAAAGCAAGTCGTCTGCGTCTTGCGCATGAGTTGCAGTGACGTCAGAACGACGCCGAGCTCTGATTGGCTTTCATTGAAAGCTGTGCTAGATGCCTTGAGATCTACCCACTATTTGTTTTAATCCGCTAATAATAATAATAATTGGGGGGTTGTGGGGATATTTATACAGCGTGTAGTTGGTCTGCCATTAAAGTTGCGACGAGTCACACGCTGTAGATGAGCAATTTAGCGAGTGCGGTACAACCGCTAGCCTGGGGTCTTTAACGTGCGGCACCCGGTACTGATACACGACCGCACGCCGGTACGATGCTCATCCAGATCGAAACGGGCAGGGGTGGGGCTCGAACCCAGGATCCCTGGGTTCTGCAGCGCGAGCTTTCGCTCCACGCGCGTCGAGCTGGGTGTGCGCTTTAACCCACTCGGCCACCGATCCCCCCCAATCAGCTAATAAGATTATAATATAATGCAACCTAGCTGTGTATGGAAATTTATGTTTGTCCTTTGTCCCTCTTGTCCAGGGATTATTATCGGCAGCCAATAAGAGCTCGGCGTCCAGGCATCACCGCAACCCCTGTGCAAGAAGCAGACGAACTTACGCTCCGCATTAGCATAAAAACTAATATTTATTTGTGATCCTCAATGACACACCAGAACAAACATTATCCATGATGTTTATACCTTGAGACTGGGAAGAAATTTTGACAATATATTAGAAGAAACCGAAAAAAAGTGACAGACAAACATTGTCGTGGCAAACGGAGTTGTCGACGTAGGGTTAACACAAAATACTGGATGTTTTGTGTGTGACACTGACACCCCCCAATTTTTTTTCCCTTTTTTTTTTTGTCAGGCGATTCATTATGGTGTCGGAAGACTACCCAATTAATATTTTGCTACAGAGTCACGTATTTTTTTAATAAAGCAAAAAAACGCAACTGCGCCAAACCGAAATCGAAACGGAGAAGTGGAGAGGATAGCGTGAGTGGCGGAAGCCACGTGACTACACCCGACCGTGCGTTTTTTTTTTCTCTTTCCGCACGTAGCAGACGAAATGCGTCCGTTCGCCGTGGTATTCCATTGCAGTTATGTTTGTTCCGCTCGCTGTTTTGTACTTCAAGATGAGTTGTTTTGTACATTTAAGTGTTGGCCATTAGTAGTGAGTGCCGGAGTGCCGTGGTGAATTCCCGTAACATAATAGCGCATTGTGTTGTCTCCTTCCTACTCTTCGTCCCTGTCGTGAAGCGCTATTTTGTTCACCAAGTTTCAGTACCAACTCGCCCAAGAATCCGCATTACTCAACTGAATTCCCGTGATCAGCTCCGAAAAGAATACTCCCAAGATGTTGCGTGAAGAGTTGCCTCACATGTCCTGCATCTGAAAGTGGCCAGAGTGCACAAGTTTCCGAAACATCAACGGGTCGGGATCAATGGCTGGCTGCAATTCCTGTACAACCATTACGCGAAGCTCGGAAAGCGGGCGCTACCCGACTCATATGCTCCTTGCGTTTTGTGGAAAATGATATACACTGAGTTCGCAGGTGTCAAAAATGGAATCCATACCATTTAGTTTAGCGACGTATCGTCCACAACAAATTTTTGTTTTTTCTGTGATAATTGTAAAAAAAGAAATGTTAACATCGCAAATGCTTGACAAAAAATATAAAATAAAAGGTACACCCACACCAGGAATCGAACCCGTGCCCTCTGCGTGTAAAGCGGACGTCTTTCCACTGAGCTACTGAAAGAACTCCTTCATGCATAGTAATGCAGCAGGTCGACTGTATGTTGGAAGTTTGCTGCCGATTTCCCTTCAATACATGCACTCTCGGCTTGAAGTCGAGCAGCACCGCGCATAGGGCACATTCGCACCTCGTAAAGTAGCCGTACGCGTGCGTATTCAACTCGAAGTACGCACTTCGTGATTGACGTTTGAGCGAGCGATGTTTTCAGCCAGGAGAAGGGACGACGGCTCGGCGACGTCTTCGTGCAATCGGCTTGCTGGTCGGGCGTGTCGTACGGGATGAGTATCAGTTCTTTTGATTGGTCCGAAATTTCCCTTTCGAAGAAAGACAAAATTCGCCAGTACCGTGAACGACAGTTCTGAAGTTGAGGTCCAACGCCCGTCGTCCGCTGCCATCCGCTAGTGCTAGTCCCACGATACGCGAAACGACGCCATGTTGAGAATTGTGCAGTGAACGCACAGAAAGCTTCCGGTTGTCTGTGCTACCTTTTTTTTTTCAATCAACGTATTTACAGCTTTTTTGAAGCCACAAAAAATGGGTTGCATATTTTTTCTATTTTTAATAATGAGTGTGTGCCTTCAGTGACGCACGACTTTGATTAAATTTGGTGGCCGCATCGATACCTTAGAAAACGGCCCGTGACCGCGGAAAAGAGAGTGAGCGAGACTCGAACCGGCCAGTTCTTGCTCGGCGGTTTTCGGGTGGAAAGAAGCCGAATTTCGAGCCGCAAATTCTGTTCTGGGTAGTTGGGCTCTCATATGTCACGTACAACTAAAAACCTCGGCGAGCATAAATACCCTGTCAGTGTCCCTTTAAAGATGGTGTTGCACGGAGAAGCATCCGTGCCTCGTGTGAAGCTTGGACACGCAGCACAGGAAGCACGCAAGTAGCAATGACTTTAAGTTGTAACACTTGGGCCGTGTCCCAAATGGACTCCATTTCACTTTAAGCGAATATTTTGTACCTTGACGTTTGAGACTACATAGTCACAAAAAGTGTATTTATCTGTTTATCGCGTAATGTAACCCGTGGAAGTGACTCGGACCTATACTCGAGTAAAATTTAAAACACAGTTAACAAAACTTAGTCAAACGCAGCTGCTTGATTAGGCATCAAAAATATTGACTACAGCAGAAGAGAAAAAAAGAGCATCTCAGAAAGCGTAAAGCAAGCACTCAAGAAAAGCACGAAAAAAGGATACTCAAAAACAAAGAGAACTTTTCGCATTGCGGTGAGAAAAGCCACGTTGTCCATCATTTCTACAACCTCTGAAGACAGTTGGTTCCATTCGCCAATAGAAAACTATTAAGAAAAAGGAAAGAAGTGCCTCACTGCCGTTTTTAAAGACCAGCAAACCTAAGACGAAACGAGGTGCTGTAGAGACTTCACGTCCTAGAATAGAACTCAAGCTGTAACTAATGATAGAAGTGGGAATAACTGAGCAATGCACGCTTGCGCCGACAGGTTATCCTGGGCGGCGGTCGGGGCATGTTCCTGGACAAATCCATGAAAGACGAAGAAGGTCAACCCGGGGATCGAGCCGACGGCCTCAACCTCATCCAGAGCTGGAAGGACTCCAAGAAGGACTCGGCCAACGCCAGCTTCATTTGGACACGACAGCAGCTACTCGGTGTCAAACCCGAGAGGACTGGGTACCTGCTCGGTAAGGTCGCGGCGCCATGCTTGGAAATGAAAAGAAAAATGAGTTTATTGTTTGTGTTTAGTAGCAGTATCTCAAATGGTGGTGTAGCTTTCGCGCTGCATTCGCGTAAATATAGACGAATTACCCGACCCTTCTTGTATTGATTTTTCCCCGTGTGTATTGCTTTACATCCTCATTACCCTAGAAAATAGAAATACCCCGTGCGTCCTCACACTTCGCGAAGTTAAGCCTGTTGGTAGAGGATGCCCTCGTCATACACAGATAGTGGAGAAATGGGGGTTGATAGAGACTTCCGGTCACTTACTATTATTGTCACAAAAAGCTACCCTCCCCTCCGCGAATGAATAATTGATTTAATGAATTATCGAATGAATGAATGATTTATTTATTCTATGAGTAAATGATTGATTGAATGAATAAAATACGAAATAAATTAATTATTGAATGAATGTTAGAATCATCGAATTAATGATTGAACTATTAAACTAATCGTTGTTCAATTGAATTAATAAAGGACTAAACTAACGAATGATTGAGTGGATGCTTGATTAAATTGATGACATAATTAATTCAATATTCAACGATCGACTTTCCGCTTTACGAAACCATTTTTAGCCATTGTTTTGGAGCATTGTTCGCAAATAGAAGCGGCCACGCCATATGGGACTTGGTTTTGGATTCCTCGCTCATCTCTTGTGCCAGGTCTGTTCGACAAGGACCACCTGCCGTACGTGCCGGAGAGGAGTGACCCGGACACAACCAAGCCCACCCTCCCCGAGATGACGAAGGTGGCGCTGGACATTCTGCTGAGATCTCCGTCCGGGTTCGTTCTTCTCGTCGAAGGTATGTGTAAGCGTATCGACCCTTCTGAAGTAAAGAACAAAAACCGCTTTTGCCTGCATTTTCTAGTTTTTATGAAAAAAATAAAAAGAAATGGACAAAGATTGAGGTTTTCGGCACCTCTCAACTCCTTCATCATCTTCCGAGTCACGTGCGCTGTGACGTCGATGGGGGTCGCGCGGGGTTCTGGTGAAGCTCTCTCTCTAGAGCCACCAGGAGCAGCGGGTAACTCACCCGCCCGCAACCACGTGACCACGTGCTTGCGCAGCGCAATCAACATGGCGAGAGGAGGAAAGTCTCGTCCGGGTCCGGCCATCCCCCTCCCCCTTTGGCTTCTGACGGCTGTTCGCGGTAGCAGATACAGCTCACGGTTTTGTGGAACTAGGATAGGTGGTGCCACTGAAACTCTATTTAATTAAAGTTTTGTCGATGATACCAGGTTTTTGACGCATTTATACTTATGTTGGAACGACAAAATTTATAGAAACATTAAATTTTAATAAAAAAAGTCGTTGCACAACTTGTTTTTTTTTTTTTCCCCTTCACAACTTCTTTTTTGAAGTCACGCCACGTGGTTCTCATGGCCGCCGCTCGTGGCTGCATATCGGGAAATATTGTAATTTGTGCCTCGAGATTACGCGGCGGAATCGCAACATTTTGAAGGAAGGATTCGTGTTTCTGTCTTTTGTGACAAGATAATGTCAAAAGTAGAAGATGAAATTTTTTTCAACGTTAAAAATCGTTGCACAGCCCTTTTAAAGGGGTTACTAAACCACTTTTTACGAAAGTCTGTGAACATAACTCAATCTATAAAATCAAAACCTCCTAAAAATTTATTTATCCGTGGGCGATTTTTTTTTTTTTTTTTTATAAAAATTGGTATCAAAAGATTGACTCAGATGGCGCCATCAGACGCGGAAGGCAGGATCTGCCCTTCTTCGTCCGGTGGCGCCACGCGGTGCCGATCTTTTGATACGAATTTTTAATGAAGAAATCGGCCACGGCACAAACGTTTATTTTTTTTTTTTTTTATAGGATGCTTGGAGCTCATGGATCGAGTTACGACCATAGGTCGGCATTTTAAGCTGTCCTCACTCAAACTCATGATCACCATTTTTTACTCAATCAGAACTCACGCCCACTCACGATCAAGATTTATTAAAAAAAAGGTCATCACCAGGACTCATCCTCACGGTTCAGCACAAAACCTAAACTCACTCGCCGTGATCATCACGGTCGTCCCGCTCACAGATCCTCACGGTCATCACGCTCACAGGTCATCGCGAGTCATCAGACTCACAGGTCATCAGACTCACAGGTCATTACACTCACAGGTCCTCACGGTCGTCACACTCACAGGTCATCACGGTCCTGGCACTCACAGGTCCTCACACTCGCAGCTCTTCAGGGTCCTCACACTCACAGGTCCTCACGGTCCTCACACTCACACAGGTCCTCACGGTCCTCACACTCACAGGTCATCACGGTCCTCGCATTCACAGGTCCTGACACTAACAGCTCCTCATCGTCCTCACACTCACAAGTCCTCACGGTCCTCACACTCACACATGTCTTCACGCTCATCTTACTCACAGGTCCTCACACTCGCAGGTCATCACGCTAACAGGTTGCTTTCTTTGTTTTGATTTTGTTCCTCGCAAGCCGTTGGTTTGTCTTTACCGTGGTCGTGAGGCGGGGAAACTACCCCAAAACAGTAAACTACTGAACCGCTTATCCAATTTGAAAGAAATGTACTACGCTTTTGTTTATGTTCCGCACATTTCTACCAAATTTCGTTCACCTGGATTAATTACGAAAGAAACTAAACGCAAGCTAACGTAATTGGGTGTGTTGAACTTTCGCCTGCTGACAAGGGCAGCGGTAAAACATAAACGCGCTTTCCGACAGCTTACACAGACAACGTCGCAGTGGTTAGAACATCGCCTCGCTGTGCATATCTCGCTCATTTGTACACCAATGAACGATTAATACATATATCACCCCCGCTTCATTTTTTTTTTGTTCCACCCACACGCATTTCTACGGAAGTTTATGCAGCATATATATATATACCAGGGGTGGCCAAACCGCGGCTCGCGAGCCGCATGCGGCTCTTTGCTGGTCCAACTGCGGCTCGCAGATCCCTCGTAAGGGGACCCCCCCCTTCCCGCATTTTCCCAGGAAAAAAGAAGGGATTTCAGGCAGAATGAAGTACGGCTGCTGGCGGTTTGGCGGCCTTGTTCCTCCATACGTACTGTCGTACAGCCTTGTGCACTCATACGTACAGTCAGACTCTAAACAGAATTTAAACTTGCGCCCCCCCCCCCAGTGGCTCTTAGAAGTTTCGTGGTTTCATTTGCGGCTCTTAGGCCTGGTCGGCCTGGCCACCCCTGATATATACAATAAACATATGCATCGACCAAATTATTATTTTTTTTTTTTTTGAGGGGGGGGGGGGGGCGGTAATATTAGGTAGGGTGACGTACCTCAGGTTTAAAATATTACCATAATCCCGGTTGGCAGTGGTGTCCGTCAGTCGTGTGCTTTTCTATCAGCAGAGACCGTTGGAGGCCGAGTTTTCCTTCTCACTCGAGTTGTTACTGCTTTTGTTGATCGACCGTGCTTGCTGGAGTGGGCTGCGATTTAAGGAATCATCAGCTGGCATTGTTTTTCAGTCATCTCGGCGTTTATAAAATACTTTCAGCATTTATTATCTTGATACGTGCAGCCGTCCCTGGATTGGTTTCATTTGGATTGGTTTGGCATGGCTTTGCTTAATTTGGTTTGGAGTAGATTGGGGGTTTGGGGTCGTCTCCGTGTATCTCTTTGTCGCGTCATTCTTGGAACGCAGTTCATCGAACAAGGTTTCATAGACATATCGTTTCATCGACAGTGCGATGTTTCATCGGCAGATCGTTTCTTTGACATTCGATGCTCGACAGAGTTTGCTACATTTCGTCGACACGTGTTTTTTTTTTGTTTTTTTTTTTCCCCTTTTTACTCGGACATCTAGACGACTTTTTTTTTTCTCTCTTTCATCGACGCGGCGTTGGCTTCTTGTCGTCTCGCGTTCTTTGCAGCCCACTGCGGTGTGGACAGGGCGCAGGTTGGGCAAGCGCAAATGCTCCTCACACTTCGTACGCAGTGCGCTGTGCGCTTACGTTGCTGGAGTGGTGCGTACGGCGTGGCGGCCTTTTTGATGCGTTTCGCCGTACGGGCGCGTGCTCGGCCTGTCTAGCGGATATTGTTTTACGTAAGGAGTGTGCCCTATGAAGCTGAGGCTCGGCGCTCGGCAACCAGACGGCCAGACGTAATTGTTGCTTTCTGTCGTGCTTTTGGCTGCGTGCACACTCGAAGCTCGCGAGATGCATAACCGTCCAAAACCTTTTTGTAAGGAGTGTTCCTAGACGCGGTGGTGGCCTCGTATACCGCTCTTTTTTTTTTTTTTTTTGTAGACTCATGTGAGGTCTATTTTGTGCCCAGTAATGCACGCGAAATACCAAAACTGATGTTTTGCTTTCTCGTCCTGCAAGTGTTCCAAAAAAGGTACTGACGTAGAGGTTAACCTGTCGGTTTTGGAAGTCTTTAAGAGTCCATGAACGAGGTATTTACATTGTCGTAGCTTGTAGAGTAAGAGCTGGTGGAGATCTATCGTCTACGTCGTCTTCTTTGCCATTGGGCAGCTGACCGATTCTACGTGCTCGAGCTCTCGCTGGGAGCGTAATCTTATAGTATAAGGAGTATTCAACGAATGCCATATTTGTGGGTGCTGTCTAGAGCGCATGCTCAGAACGAGCCCATATTAATAGGTTGCTAAGACCGGCAATCTTGATTGTGGGGAATGCACGTTCCAAAAGAACCGTAGAAGCTCGCCATCTGCACGCGCTCAGCAGTCGCGCACACTGCTATGGCCGCCAGTGAATACTCCCTATTCAACAGTGTTCATCCGTGTGTACTATAGTGAACAGTTCAGGCCCGACATATCAATAGTTTCTTGTTATCAACCAGGAAAACGCAATATCTGTAAACACCTCCCGACAAAGAATGAAAACCAGAGCTCGCCGTTCGCTTTGACCCCCAATCGACCTATCTCACACACTTTCAATGCTACCACAATCAATATTGTGGTAGCTGTAAAACGCAACTTAATCGCGCCGACGCTTCGCGGCGACGCGACAGACCTGTGTGAGTCATATGAATCACAACTAGACACGCACAACTACCAGCTATATTGCGCGCGTCGCTGTTTCGCAACATTTGACTTAATCACAAGTTCCCATGAGCTATGATCTGCCAACGCTCTACATTTCATCTCCAACTTTTCCCTCACTTACGTTGATTGATTGGCACCGTTCCGCATATTTGCGGCCAACTATTTTTAACCTCCAACCTCCAAAGAAATTACAAACTCAAAGATTGTCAGGGTGCAGGCGAGCCGGTGTATGCTGATCATGATGCAAAATCCTGAGACTGGAAATGAAATTTAAAAGAAAAAGTGTAAGAAGCCTGAAAAAAGGGGACAGGACAACGTCTCAAACTCGACGTTGTCCTGAGCTAGCTGAGTATGAGACGTTTTCCTGCCCCTTTTTCTTTCAAATTTCATTCCCAGAGCTTAGTTTGAGACGTTGTCCTGTCCCCTTTTTTTCTGACTTCTTACACTTTTTCTTTCAAATTTCATTCCCAGAGCTGAGTTTGAGCCGTTGTCCTGTCCCCTTTTTTCTGTCTTCTTACACTTTTTCTTTCAAATTTCATTCTCAGAGTTGAACTTGAGACGCTGTCCTGGCCCCTTTTTTTCTGTATTCTTGCACTTTTTCTTTCAAATTTCATTCCCAGTCTCAGGATTTTGCATCATGTGCAGACTAAAATTACTATATGCCAGCGTCACTCGGGCAGCGTTCGATTGATTACTACCAGCGTACAAGGGGGTAGGGAGGCAGTTTGCCAGATCGCTTCAAGGTTTTTCCGAGCCTCGACCACCTACCTTCCCCTGGCATTTTCGTACT